GGTCCCAAGACCTGAGTTCAGCTTCGAACAAACTAGAAGTCATCCACGATTTTTTGTTAGCACTGTAGCGCACTGGTAGGTTTTCCACATTTTTAAAACATCTAGGATTTTTTTACTTTCCAATCACAAGCAATTTCCTCTTCTCGCTTCCAGTCGCATTAGCACAAACAAGAGCTGTAATCCGCTCTTTCGACAACTTGCCGCCAACACACTTCTCTCCCTTAAATTTCAGTGTCCTGTCAGGTGTCAGTCGAAAGAAAATGCTGGTCTCATCGGCATTAATGACATCCTTGTCTGCATATCCTTTACGTATACTGGGCCACACGGCAGTAAGCCATTCAGTTGTAGTTTCGGTATTTACATCCCTGGCTTCACCACTCACCTTACCGAACGTAATGTTGTGACGCAACTTGAACCTATCAATCCATCCAGCACTACACACGAATTCTTCATCCTTTAACTTTTTTGCGAATTCTTCAGCTTTCACCATAAGAAGAGGGCCACTAACTGGTACGTTATCACTTCTTTGCTGCTTAAACCATTTGAGCAGGGCTTCATCGACATCACTCCGTTCAGGCTTACGCAGTCGCTTTATCCTCGACCCATTTTGTTCAAATGCATCAATAATTTTTGTTTTATTTCTCCATATCGTTTGTACTGTAGAATTCACCAAACCAAATTCGCGACATACATCAGCTTTTTTCCTTCCATTTTCTATTTCACGAATCACTTTAACTTTCTCTTCAGTGCTTAAAACTTTCCTTTTCATTGCCATGTTTTCGCTACTGCACTTCTCTGGGTTTAGGCAGGAACACTATAGGGTAAGTAGACAATGTGAGGTCCTGTTAGACGAGATTCTAGGAAAGGAATGCAGTTAACAACCTGCCGCGTCCTCTTGCACTATTCACGCAGTCCCACCCCACACCCTTGTTTTCGCATAAAACCCACGCTCCTCTTGCAGCCCGCGGTCGTATTCTTCCAGGACAGTCACGTCAGCAAGTAGAGAAAGTGAGGGTGGGCAGACACATCGAACTTTCCCATGATATCAGAGAAATTCAGGAATGAAAATGACGTTACATACGAGGTTGATGCATTTGTGCATGTCGTACTAAGCAAGGTATAAAAACAGTTACTTTATGAGGAATTAGTTCGTACCATTGAATATTTGACGCAATAGACAAGGTGTCGCAGAAACCGATGTTGCTATAACCAAGTTTTACTGTATTTATATAATGCCTTTACATGTTTTGGTCAGTTGTGACCATCTTCAGAAGGCGATAACATGCTAAGGAACTAGTATTACATAGATTGTAATACAATACATATGCCTAAACTTCTGTATCAAAATTTGTTAAAGTTAAAAAAAATTTTGAGTTTATATTACTAAATTTCTTAATATTTAAAAATTTGAACTGCTGAGGTTTGTGTCTTTGTGCCTCTTCTGTCAAATGGGAGATTGGGGTGTTATTTGCCTTCCTCTGAGGTGTGGGCAGCGTAATTTACCCCCTTTTTATATATGGTTAAGGATATGTGTTGTTGTCACCTTGTTCCTCCTTTAGTTGTGTATTAAGGCATTATAAATATATACTGAGTCACACTGGACAGTGTTGTCATTTCATTTTATAATATACTTGTATGATCTTCTATTATGAAAAGAATTGGGCTGATGTGTGTTTGTGAATTTTATAGATGTCAAATTTGGGACAAGCAGAGATGAATGTGCTGCATCAGGTGTTGATGTTCCCATAGACACACACATTCAGGGCAGTCCAAATGGTGCACATTCTTTCGCTCTCCATGATAGTTTAGAAGACATCATTGATCATGAGGAATGCATTGGTGATGGAGGTGGAGAACAGGAAGCTACTCTGAAGGTGATTTCCTGGTTTCACTAGTATATTACACTAGTCTGGGCTTCATTAAATGAAGCTCGAATCACACTTCCTTGAAATGGGGTTCAAATTGTCTTCTGCGATGACATTAAGCTTACACCGTCTCTGAGTGTGTGTGCAAGGTTCATATTGTCAAACTTAGTTAATTTATATTCTGAATCTTTCTCATGCAGATGGGACAGAATATAACAATAACAGTACTGATGAATGTTTTGTTTTCCTTAGATTGACACCATCATGGCATCACCTGGTGATTCTTGTGCCAGTTGTCCAGTGAAGCTAGAGAGTGCTCAGTCACAGGGAATTGCTGATGACAGTGGAAACATTAGTACTATTGAAAATGAGCGTGAGAATGAACACAAAGGTAAAATAGGACCTTTTAAGAACACTACAAATAACACTGAATTAAAAAGGGAATCTCATTCAGGAAGTTCAGAGGTAAATGGGAACGATGTTTATCTGGAAAGAATGTCTACTGGACTTACAGACACATATTCTCGTGTTACTGCACAGACCGAGAACAAAATTCAGTCATGTTTAAAGAAATCGGAATTGCCTGTTAAAAAGAGAGTTTCATTCAAGACTGGTCATCATAGTACTGAAACAAGACAAACGGAACACAGATGTGATATAGGAAGTCTAGCAATGAAAGGGTCCATAAGACATCCAGTCATTGCAAAATTAGGGAGAAAAGTGAAACTAGAACTGGAAAGGATAAGTTTACCTTTGAAAGGGGAGTGCCACAATGCAACTTCAGTTGGTGCCAAACTTTCTAACAGGGATGTACAAAGAACTGTGAAGACAAAGAAATCTGTATTGGATACTGGCGATATCAGGTCCTCAAAGAGATATAAGACAGTGAGTTTAATTTCAAACAAAAATGTGTTCACAGAAAACAGATCTATCATGAAACGCAATAGACACAGTAAATCAAAACGAAGAAAATCAGCTCCTGTAATCAAAAGAAACAAACAGTTCAGTGAGGTATGTGACTGTGAAGTTAAGTTAGAAAGACTGTCACCAGAATTTCTGAGAAGAGCTTTATCCGGACAGAAGAAACAACAAAGCGTAGAAACAAGGTCCATGACACGGGTACACCAAAGACATAAGACTGGCAATTCATTTTATTTTCAGAAGCCTGAAGACACAAATAATGGTACAAAAGAAAAGACTGATGGAAGTTTTAAAATGGAGATTATTGATGATACGTGGGGAAGTGATAGGATCGACGCATGGGGAAATGTAAGATACCTCTTAAAAGGACACAGTAATCTCAGTGAATGTGAGGAAGACTGGTATGGTTGGTGGGTACGTGTTGATTCTCTCCACAAATTCTGTGATGCTCACCTTTATAGTATATCAGATGGTGTGACAGACTCTCGCATCATGGTTTGGGATAATACATTTGAAGCAAAGCCAGCTCCTCAGAACAATACAGTTCGAGTACCAGAGCAAGCAGAATATGCACATGAAGAAAGTCAAGACACGGACGAAGATTGGGCTGGTTGGAAGGTGCTCTGTATAGAGAAAAGCGTAGCAGATGTGGATTCCTTTGGTTTTTCAGATGAGGAGGCGGGTGATTTTTATGGATGGTGAATTATTCATATTCCAGAAATCACATGTCCAAACATGTTAGGCTGTGAGTTTGTATACAGCCAGTTCATTTATCCCAGAGTCTTGTGGAGCATTTTTCACTTGGGAGGAGGGCGTTGATTGCCTAGTAAGGATTCTAATGTCATCACACAATTACAAACTGGTAACAATTTCATATCAGTGGCATCCAATTTTCCCTTTCATTGCCATGGTGTAAATAATTGTATTTGTTTTATAGCTGGAAGATTTTTATACAGTCTCAAACTGGTCTCACAGAACTCCTTAACTCATTGCAGACGGGCGATTTAAATATTTAAATCACCCTGGGGCCGCCATTATTAAACCTACTATCCCAACTTGTGCACTGTTCACTTTAAAAATTAATATAAAATCTCCTAATTAATTTTATGTCCTAAAATTTTTGGAGAACACTTACCGATGCTCCTAGAAGTGCTTGAGGGTGTGATATTTCTGGAAACATTGGCAGTTGATGGGCCCGGTCACACTAAGTCTGTGTCTGACTCTGGTTCTGCCGCCACCATCTGGTCTGTAGTCCAGGCCTTTGCCACATTCATCAGAAATGCTTTGTATTTCAATTTTGAATCAGGGTTTAGATTTTTTTTAGATTTTTTACTGTCCCCGCAATGTTATTGCCCGCATTATCGTTGGAGGTACTGTCACTTTTACTGTCTGTGGCCACAATTCTTTTTTCTCCCCTGTCACTGCCACTCTCTGAATCACCATGACTACGCGTCTCACAAGGCAGGTCAGCTAGCTCATTGGAGAAGAATTTTTCCTTGATCCATACTCCACCACTAACTACTGGCTGATACATACAAAGGCAAAGCATTTTCCTTTATAGTAGGTTAAGAAAACAGCGAGGTCAAGTTACTGACAAGTAGGCAAACATTCCAGAGTTTTGTTACACAGCTGCATGCAACCTGGGTGGCGCCAGAGCAAGGTATAGTGTGTTACAACCTAACGTGTCCTAAAATCATGATATCATGCGACCGGTCCACCACGTTTAAAAGCCAAAAGCACGATGTCATGTGACTGGTCCTCCAACTGTTAAAAAAGTATGTGAGTGGTGTTAAAAAAATGAGGCAGCTGTAAGGATGTCTCTTTGTTCATCAGAGGGTTAATTAGATATTCCATGACTATTTTATTCTGTACTTCATCCTTGAACTGTATGTATGTAGGTATTTATTGAGGTTTAACTCTTTTGAGGGGGATGAAACCAGAATCTGCATTGTTGTGTAATACTGTGAAATTTGTAGACACGAAGAACCTGTTCTGTATCTTCTCTGTTATCTGTGCTCAAATGGTATGAATACTCGTGTCACGAGGGGTTTACTCGAAAGTAACTGTTGTTTTTCTATTGATTCAACCAAGATAGAATTTGTATCAATATTATTTTTAAATAAACAGTCCTCAGTTGTGAGAAGACTTTGAATCTTATGCTTTTAACATATTTCTAAAGGTATCTCAGAATGTAAAGTGTAGCATAAATTATGTCAGTGCTGATACATTGCAGTTTGAAAATGTTGAGGTAAGGTTCCATACATTATCATGCATTTTATTTGTCTCCCAAATGGATGGACTCAAAACCCAATCAGAATGTGGACAGATATTTCCATCATTCCTGCTTCGAAGTGAACATTTCTTTGTTCCATTGTTAAGCTAATTTAAATTCCCTGTGCATAATATTGTCACGTGTTGGGTATATAATGCGACAAATAACTTCACGCCTTATTGGATATAGCGAATTTTATTCCACACTCGCTCATACAATCATACAGTTTACAATCTCACAACTACTGCTATCTGCAGTATTACAATTACTTGGCCTGCGAAGGCTAGACTACAACTGACTGGTTGACAGACTCACTGCTGGCTAACTCGTAACTTGTAACTGACTTTGAATAGCCTTCGCTGCTCCTTATTTAGCCCTGTTCCGGACAACACAGAAAACAGCCACGTAATAGGCACCACTGTTGTCTGGCGCCGTGTTTGCCGATAGCCTAGCAACGCTGTTGGGAGTTGTTTACGGCTGAGTAGCAATGGCGGTATCCCGTGTTATGTCACCGATGGGGAGGGAGGGGTGTCCTCCATAGCGCAACACATCACAATATATTCTTGTGTCACCATTTAAATATACTGTATCCTAGTTTTGTGACACCAGTTAGTCTATTCTTCCATTATTTCTTTCTGCCCTTCCATCTCTCCTCCTCTCTAGCATTCCTTTTCCTCCTTCCACTTTTATATATGCCATATAGTTAGAAATCTGACATGTTTTATTACATTCTTCTGGATGAAATATGGCAATGAATTACAACAAAAACCCTATTTAATGAATTTCTGGTGGATTGGCTTTCCTTACACCAAATTAAGGTTTTCAGTTCATGGAGATTATGCAAAATTACTTAAAAAGCTGTTCATGTTCTTGGGTAAAAAGGTAAAGTTATTCCTGTAACAGGTCGTGGAGGCACATAAGATTGTGAGACGAGGCTCCAACCTTTTCTAGGCAATTGGCTTAGAGATGGTGGTGAGGTTGTCAGCCTTATGCGCTGGTCTGCCACCATTTACCCTCAAGAAGATTCTTGGTACTCATTTCTTTTAGAGAAAGAGTAAACGCCAGGGCCATGGTGTGGCTGGAAGGATTAGGTCAACTGAAAAGTCCAATGATATTGGGAATCGAACCTGCAACCTTCTGGCTAGTAGCATAGTGCCTCAACCACCTATGGTACCATGTTTACTGTATATAATTATGATAGAATAATTTTTGTGCATAAGTATTTCAAGAAATTGTTTTAATACAAATCATTACAATTACATAATATAATTAATTCTAAAATAATATCACATGAAATAAACACTGAAATATTTTCAGTCTAGAATCAAAGCAACAATGGTGCTACTACCAGCATTGATATGATTCATGTTCAGTGAAGGGTGTTGTTTGCCAGAGATTAGGGTTGTGCAGTAATAATGTATCATGAAAGATTAATAAAATATTGATTTGCCTGTATAGTATTTTCAAGCCCCCAAAAAATTTGTGAATTCTAGAATATCTTTAGCATGAAGGTCAGGCATATGCCTGTCCATGGTTGTGGATTTGAAGAAAGGGTCAAGAATACTGTATCTTTTGGGATGATATGCTGCAGTAGTTTTGTAGTTTACTTATGTAGAGTTCTGTTTTCTGGGATCTGATCACACACAGATCCAGCAGTACAATGCATGCAGTAACAGGAGCAAAACACAACACAGAACATGATACACAAATATATGTAGGAAGAATGCTCACATAAAAGAGGATTGGCATAATTCGCGTGTTTGAGTGCGACGTAGGAAAAATCCTGAAAAGCTTTATTATTTAGAATTCATCGTCCGATATGACGAATACAGATTTTAGTCATTTTAGAATGTAGACATTATGGCATGCAGTACAATAGTTTAACGTGCATAAAGACACCTGAAGATGGCACATTAGTGTTGAAACATGTAGTGTGGGTGTGAAGAATAAGGTGAAAAAGTGTATACACTGTAAGACGGTCAGCATAAACCATGACCATGTAAGTAAAGTAAAAGTAAAGTAAAGGTATCCCTGTAACAGGCTGTGGAGGCTCATAGGGTTGTGAGATGTTGAGGTTCCCACATTTTCTAGACAATCGGCTCATAGATGGCAGTAAGGTTGTCAGCCTTATGTGCCAGCCACCCTTTACCCCCAAGAATATTCCTGGTACTCATTTTTGTTAGAGGCTGACTCCACCCCAGGGCCATAGTGCGGCTGGAAGGATTAGGTAAATTTAAAAAATCCACCTCGTCGGAATTTGAAACCGTGGCCTGGCTTGTAACATAGTGCCTCAACCAGCTACGCTACCGCTTGCCCCCTTCTGTCTTCCGTCTTCAGGTAAAACCTACTCAGTTGGACACAATCAATAGAGCTAGTCCCTATCTCCTATTCAGAATGTTTCTCTCTGTTGCATACTTAGCGAGATGTGCCCAAGATGCTGAGGTCCTTGAGTCATATTGCCATTAAAAGTAATTGCAGGTGACAGAAATTCTTGCAACAGGAATGTAGTGTGTAAGTTTATATACAAACCTGTCAGTGGACTTGTATGATAAACAGATTTTGTCTACTGAATAATGTGACCTTAAAAACAAACTAAATTATTCCAAAATCACAATGACTTAAAATTTATTTGACACATTCTGTGCTGAGTTTGGTTAAAATTAGTTGGGTCATTCTCACACTGTAACTTGCAGTTAGGTATGATGAAAATAAATAAGCTAAAAGTGTAGCTCAGGGAAACGCGCGTGCTTCTTCACAGAATAAAAGTGCTTATTTTGCCTTCATGATGTAGTGCTTAATTGGTTAAGGACAGGACAACTAAACCTTTCTGCATTTACTTTGTAGTCATTTTTTATTACTCTTTGGCCATACACTATGTATTTAATTATTACCACTATACCAGCACAGCAAACCATAAGGTATTTGAAATGTGCGTTACTTTACAGTGATTATGCAAAGAAACTTAGTAAATGATTGGTTTGAAGCTTTTAGTTAGCTTGAAGACTGAGACAATACGCTCCTCCGAAACGTCAGTAATGATCTACCAGGCTACACGGCAACACATTCAAGCAGACAGTAATCAAGCTAGGAAATATTTTCCTTTTAATTTCTTGGAAGTATATCCTGTGGCGGTCTCTACTGATCTAACATGTCCATGATCTTTCACCGTCCAGCACTAGAACTGCTGCACCCGATTACCCTTCTGACTGATCCCCATATTTCTATATTTTTTTTCCTCTGAAGATGCGCTTGCAGAGAACTGGCTGGCCAACGAGGGAGTATTTCCATCCACATATGCAGGATTTTGGAAGCTTCTGCGATCATGACAACAAAAGGAATGAGAGACGTTTCTGTTCTTGGACAATTAATTTCATGTCAGTAAGCATTACTCTGCCCTTTGATATTGATCGTTATTATCAACAATGAGAAGCTTCGACTCGGTGATAACGAAGGCACGTGTTTCATATCAAATACCAGTACTTCAACAACGTAATTGTCACTGATAGGTTGCCCACAGTTGTACATGAGTGGGATGTGATGCCATGTAGTCCGATACAAGTCCACTGACGTTTCGGAGGAACGTACTGCTAGGACCGCGCCATAGCTCAAGCGGTTAGTCGCTGGCTTCCCGCCGCGGCGGCCCGGGTCTGGTCAAGTGGGATTTGTGGTAGACAAAGTGGCACTGGGGCAGGTTTTCTCCGAGTACTTCGGTTTCCCCTGCCAATCTACATTCCACCAATTGCTCCACAATCACCCTCACCTATCATGCGGGGCTGGTACAATAGGCCAGACGTAGCCGCGGTCCAAGGGACTTAGTCCCACCCCACTAGGAAATAAAAAAAAAAGTACTATTTCTATTTTCAGGGTTGACGAGTAAGCCCAATATGCAGTACTGTGAAGATGGGCTACACTGCGTCACATCGCGGAAGACAGTACTCTTCCCAGTTATTATTTCATAATCCTGAATATGAAAATATTTCCGCTTACTTTTATTTGCATTGCGTCTTGGGCACGGTATGTGGCTATTGATTGTTATCTACGTACCGTTATGCCCGTAACAGTTCGTCATTCTATGATACTCTTTTAACAGGAAGTTTTGCCACATGTTTATAGGAAATTAAATTTGGTCCATAAACTTTATATTTACTTACATTTTAGTAGTTTGTAGTTCGAAGTGTAAGTATTTCATGTCTGTAATTAAAGGTGATTTACACTTGGCAACATTGTTTATTTACGTTTAGCATCTTTGACCTCATTTCCGGAAATTCTTTCGGGGGTGATATCAATTAGTGGAATAGCAATAACAAGGCTGAGAGAGGGGGAACGTACTCTATGTTGAACAGCGCTGATCATGTGAGCCAATCAGAGACAACAATCTGACGTCAGTCAAGTCTGGGGGATGAGTAGTTTTGAAAACAAGTCGTGTGTGGTGTTGTGATACCGTGTGATATTTTTTAATAGTATTTGCGGAAGATGGACTCACTGAGAGAACAAGTGATGATAAATCAATTCGTATTAGCTGCAGGTTGTGCAAGAGAGCAAGCGAAACAGTTGCTACAAGCCGCACATTGGCAATTTGAGGTGAGATATTTGTAAACAAATGTTCTCTTACGAAAATGGCTGCTGTTGTGTAAGCCTAATCACTGGTTAATATGATAGCTTGGTGTGGTCAAGGGCTTGAAGGTCAGCGTTTGTATAAAGCATTCTATACTTGTTTACTTTTCTAATGGAATTAGTTTGTATAAAATAATTTTCGTTTTAAATTTAATTGATTGACGTGTACATATCTGTTGCAGTTACTGCAGTAATATGCGTTATCACTGAGTACTCCCAGTAACTTCATTTTGTGATATTGTAAAGAAACATGTTGCTCCAATTCCGTTTCAATTGTCGCTTTATTTTGAAAATTTTCAGTCTTACACATGATATTTTCAGTGTTATTCCTTCATCTGTTTTCTCCGAGATAAGGCCATGTATTTAAGGGTGACCGGAATTAATCAGGGGAAAAAAATTCTTTAAATTGACGTTTGTATTATTAAAATATATATTGTATCATTTCCTTGTATCGTGATCGCACTGACATTTCGCACACTTTTCAGATAATATGCAGGATTCCCTTTACATTGATATTAAGAAGTACTTCCTCGTGTGTACGGAACTGAGGTGGCTGTGCCCAATAATAAATATATGACCGTATAGTCAGAGTGGTCAAGGTCACTTTATAGACAGTTAAGACATGTGACATCAGCGGTTATATTATGGTTGTGTGAGAGAACTAGCCGGCGATGTGGATTGTGGAAAGAAATGCCTTTTCATCGTCCCTAAAGTACGTCATACTTATTTAGTTAGCAGCCTCAGTGAAACTAGTTTCAGATTTTAATTGCTATAACGTAAAACATTCTGCTGTTTTAAGGGAATCTTTAATAGACCACGAAAGTCACGTGTTTTGGTGTGGAAGGAATGAAGCGCGAAAGTTTTGACATTTTAAGTGAAACGTGTTTATGTTTGAGAGCCTCTTTGTACTGATAAAAGCGTATGAAGGCGAGTATTTGTTAGATTTTGAAACTGGCTCTTTTAATTACAAAGATGGAAATCATGTTCACCTGCGGTTCTTTTTAATAGTATAGTATTAATTTATTCAGTAGACACCATCTACTCCTGTGACAGCTGTGCTTGGTGACTTTTGAGCAGTGTATGGAAGCCCAGTGTGAGTTCTCCCCTCTCCTGCCCTGTGTCGCCACAGTTCACCAGTTTTGAAGCCCTGTTGCTTGTTTGAGTTTTGCTTCCGTTGGGATTAAAATAACCTGGAATTAGTTTAGACAGAGGGAAAACCTAAACTAAGATTTCCACACCATGCGTGATGCGATAAGCATGAATCACCAGGTGACCACAGGCAAATATATTGCCCTTAAAACTTACAATTAAGAGTACGATCTTCTTGGTTGTAACGCCATTTCGGTTTCTGAGAAACATATCAATTCCATCTTCAGGATCGATGAATAAACCAAGCAAGAAACTGGAAGTACGCAGATTTTCGGTAGTTCACCGACGTTTCGGAGGGACTTATCGTCTCCATCTTTAGGGCCTAAGGCCAAGCCGAGCGAGCAAGTAAGCAGACAACAAACATGCGGTACCCTCGTGGCATATTCTTCGATCAAGAAGAAGATCGCACTCCTCATGGTCACCGATGTGAGAATCTTAAATACAATGTAGTGTTTGCCAGTGCTCTCTTTCAGCATATACGCGTGCTGGCAAACTTGTCAACAATCGGAAGTCGCGCATCTACCGTTACATTGTAAGTTACGCCCTTAGGCAAAAACGGAACCATAGGTACCGGCAGACATGTTAGCGCTAGTGTTTACAGTAATTCTAAGGTCGGCCGGTCAGTCGGTCGAATTGCTGCTGGTCCTCGCCAGCATAGTCATTCTTGGCTGCAGGCCTCGTCGAGACATATGACCTGAGATTTTTGTTCTCTCCTAGACATGTACGTGCTTAGAAGTGGGCCTAGCTCTGCGATGAAGGGAAGGGAGGCCTTTCTGAGTTAGGAGCTGCATTTGTTGGACCATAGTTGCATTGATTTGTAGCCATTCCAATAATTTCTGCGGACTCTCGCTGCCAGCTCAGTGATTCTTGTTATAAAATTACAGAGCGAGGATAGTCGATATAACGACTAGGCTACGGGCTGGGTGGTCGAATATTCGGGTTTCGATTCCAGGCAAAGGCAAGAGATTTTTCTTTCGTGCATGGCGTCCAGACCGGCTCTGGGGCCCACCCAGCCTCCTATCCACTGGATACCGGGGTCTCTGGCCTCGGGGATAAAGTGGCAGGGGGCGTGAAGCTAACAACTCATCTGGCGCTGAGGTCAAGAATGGTGGAGCTATACCTCCACTCTCCCATATGCCTTTAAAGCATAGTGCTTATTACATAATTATTATTTTTTTATTGCTAGTGGGGTGGGACTAAGTCCCTTGTACTGCGGCCACTTCTGGCCTATTGTACCAGCCCCAGATGATAGGTGAGGGTGATTGTGGAGCAATTGGTGGAATGAAGATTGGCAGGGGAAACCGAAGTACTCGGAGAAAACCTGCCCCAACGCCACTTTGTCCACCACAAATCCCACTTGACCAGACCCGGGATCGAACCTGGGCCGCCGCGATGGGAAGCCAGCGACTAACCGCTTGAGCTATGGCGAAGCCCTATTACATGATTAAGTAGAGTGATAACTGCCTTGTAACGTTACTTTCTTTCTGTTTTTATGAATTTGTGTGTAAGAGGGTTATGAACGAAGAATTTTGTTGTATCAGCTCGCGGTCTAAATTCCGAAACCAGATGTGGCGGTTGTGTGGTGTGTGTGTGTGTACCTGCTTCGTGTTCAGGAGTCCCGCCATCGGTTCTGGGTTGTACTAAACCCGTTATCGTAGTTGCGTTGTTTCTTGGCATTTCCTCGATATAAATTTGAAATGCTCGAATCCCGTAAGGGTCAAGAATTTCCTCTCCTCCACATCGTCTTGATCGGCTCAGGGGCTCACCCAACCTCCTGTCGGCGGTTGTGTGGGGACTCTTTCCCCGGGGGTAAAGCGGCAGGGGCGTGACGCTCAGCATTTATCTCCCAACTAGTGCCGAGAGCAAGAAAACGTGGATCTATACATCCACTCCCCATACATCTTCATGGCGTAGTGCTTAATTAGTTAAGCACAGTGGCAACTTTACCATTACCACGACCGCAACTTTCCACATCGTTCTCCAGTTTGTTGATGCGCTTAAGAAAGCGTTGCTCACACAGAAAGTGCACTGTGTTTGCGAAGAGAAGCGGCGATTCTCGTAGACTGCAGATGCATGCAAGCATCAGTGCCTAGCTGCTGTTTGCTAAAGGATTTATGCTATTCGAGAGACATGTTTGAACCTGAGGGAGAAGCATGGTGAGCAGCTTCACCGGTTGTGTTCATGGGCGGTAGAACCAAGACATCAGGAATACAAATGCATGCATAATTTTTGAGTTGGAAAACTTCAAGAGAAAAGGGTCACGTCGGAGACCAAGGGATAGACTGGAGGAGGGTACATCGAAGTGGATCTTTGGGGAAATAGGTTGTGTAAGAGTCACCTGGACCGGCGATAATGAAATACTCCTTGACTCAAGTCAGTTTATGATGTTTAGTTAACGACGCTGCCATTGACTTACACCATATAGCGTCGAATGGTGAATAATGAATCGGAGAGACTGGAAGGGCACAGTCGTAGCTGCTTTAGGCACTTGTGACATTCACCTGTAGGGACTAAGGAAACCCGCGAAAAAACACACAGGTATAGGCGATCCCCGGCCCAAGATTTGAACCAGGATCTCCCGAATGAGAAGCAGGAACAGAATAGGTTGGCTCTTGACTCATGTTCTGCAGGTGTGCGGTTCGAATATTCGGCGGGACGTTGGCAATAATGACTTGAGGTTTATAGCGGTATTCCTGAGTCCCTCCAGACATATGTCGGGACAGTACGTTTCCTTCCAAATCCATTACGATTCATCGTTCACCCTACCATTCAGCCCTGTACAGCGTAAATATTGACAGCGTTGTAAGCAGGAGTACTACTCTCGACTGTGACCGTTCATTGGCTTTCTGTAAAGTAGACCACATACCAGGGGGGTGCGACATCTGACCGCATTGTGTCGTTCCCTAAAGCATAAAATGGATTTGGATTAAATTTGATATGGGAGATTACATGAAAAATAAGACCACTAAATCTCCTTGTACTTGAAGCTCAGGTGTTTTGTATATTTCTGGAAAAAGTGTACGCACGTTACATGAAGCCTTTAAATGCAAGGAAAACTAATTTGTATCCATACGATTGATTGCTTTGTCATCAGTAATGTATCCTCTTGCTCCCTCTTAGGAACATAGGGCTGATTTCTCAGTTTCTTGACCATTTTGCAGACGGTAGGACTCCTTGAATGGGTGATCAGCTCATCTCAAGGCCTCTACCTAAACACAGGACAACACAAACACACCAAACATCCATGCCCTGAGTGGGATTCGAAACCACGATCCCGGCTTCTGAGCGAGTGAAGACAGTAAATCACTCTCAGATACCACAAGCAGAAGACGCCAAATACCTTGGTATACACCTGGATAAACGATTGACATGGCAAAAACACATTCACACCAAAAGAAAACAACTCGGAATAAAATTCCGACAGATGTATTGGATGCTGGGAAGACAGTCGGAGTTATCGACAGAAAACAAGATCTTACTGTACAAAACCATGCTCAAACCGATATTGACGTACGGGATACCATTGTGGGGATCAGCCAGTAACTCAAACATAGAAATTCTCCAACGATTTCAAAGCAAAGTATTACGAATAATAGTTAACGCACCGTGGTACGTGCCGAACACGGTACTACGCAAGGACCTAGATGTACCAACAGTACGAGAGGAAATTAAAAAAAAAACAGCAGAAAGTATANACTGCTCTGAAGATGGAGGCGCTACGTTCCTCCGAAACGTCGGCCAAAACGAAGAATACACGGTGCCTAAACCCAGAAGACAACTTTCTTCATTGTCATCGCCGTGAAAACCTCAAAACTTACAAAGTATTGAGCATGTTCACTGGAATATGCTCACCACGTCAAGCACTCTCTTTCCTTTCGCTATATATAAATTAACCACAAAATGTACTTATTATCCACATTTAATGGATAGATTGTGTAATTATTGGAGTTAAATAAAAAAAAAAGACTGGTCAGGGATTCGAAATTGAAGAACGTGTTTGGAAACTGTCTTAATTGTGTGTGATTCATTGTAAAGTAAATACAGCTGCGAACACGACCTTGGTAGGCCGCAAACGGCTGCGTGTCATATCGTACTGTGATTTCCTGATAAGATTTTCCTCCGTTATTTCTAATGTAATGTAATGAAATGATGTGTAAAATGTTCTGTATCGTGGGAATGTTAATGTAACGCCAGAAGCCACGTTGTTCAACCCAACTTCTATGCCCGCCAAGTACAATAAATGTCTCCGTGGGCCTCTGGTTAGCGCAAAGTTCTCATCTTAGGGAATGAATGTTGCTAACTTGTACTCGATCCAAGTGTATGATTTAATTATTTATGGGATTACCTGGCTCATGGACTGCACTGCTTATCCATGCGTGTCTGTTCACTGGTACATAACGAGAACAGATGATCCACGTTCCATCCACAAGCTATTGTGCGGAAAGAGGGTGTGGCCTTCATTATATCCAGTACATGCCACTTATGTTATTCCCTCAGAGGTGCGGTGCAGAGAGACTGCAGCGAGCCCCTTTGGCTGTTCGCAGTTCGTTTATTTATGTTTCATTTCTAGGAGAGCTGCAGGGTTGGTTTAGTGACGACAGATGCGAGTGACGTCTTGACCTATTTTGAGGTATGTAATCGACATTATCCTGGAGGCAGTGGGCCGAAGACTGTTTGGTGCCATAGACGAGTGGTTTTTGGTGCCCCTTTTGCACAAATATTGTTGGAGTAGTCATAATATACTCGCATTTGAAATACGAATAGACTGTGAAGGATTGTAAGAGGGACGTAATATCAGCGGAAGGGAGAGCATAGCTTTAGCGACGAGAATATCGGAAATTTTCTTAATTTACTTCCTGCTTTAGTATTACTCGTAAAGTGGACAGGGGAAGGAGAAAGTGTACCTAATAGCTGTAACAAGTAAAAGTAAGTAAAGTAAAGCTATCCCTGTAACAGACCGTGGAGGCCCATAGGGTTGTGAGATGTTGAGGCTACCACATTTTCTCTAGACAGTCGGCTCATAGATAGCGGTAAGGTTGTCAGCCTTACGCTCCGGCCGTCCTTTACCCCCAAGAATATTCCTGGTACTCATTTCTGTTAGAGGCTGAGTCGACCCCAGGGCCATAGCGCGGCTGGAAGTATTAGGTAAATTGAAAGAAAGGATTCGATCCTGCGACCTCCCGGCTTGTAGCATAGTGCCTGAACCAGCTACACTACAAAACATTGGGGGTTAAGAAATTGAAAGTTTGGAGGGAAGAGAGCCTCTTTTTGGTGCTTAGAAGAGGCTCATCTTATGTTGATAGGATGCACAGAAGTGGCGTAAATAAATAAATAGTAAATACATGTAAATGTTAGAAATGGCTGTATTGTCATTAAGGAATAATTGTTAGGAAACTCATAAAACATAATAATAACAACAATATCCTCGGAACGTGCTATTCTCTCTGTCCTTAAGGTTTTAAAGATTTCCCGCAGTCCTTCCAGCAAATACGCGTATAGTAGCGTAAAAACAGGTCATGACCCTTTCTGCGTCTTTCCTGTTCATATCGCCGTACCACTGGACAGTACATAAGCTGTGCAGCTGATTTTTAGCGAATTGTTTTACTGCACTTGCAGCATCGCAGACTGTAATTGCGCCGAATTGATGGGATGGCAAATGAAATGGAAGGAATTTGGAAGGAAGCGATCGTGGGCTAATTGGTCAAAATATTCTTTCTGTTACAGACGGCCCTAAGTATATTTTTCCAAGAAGCAGCCATCTCTAGTTCCCCGCAGGGTCCAGGAACGCATTTTGGACAGGTAAGTGTTTTCCCTCCACCTAACCATCATACCACGATCACATATAGGGGAGTGGAGGTAAAACTCCACGCATTCTGAAGTCTCGTTATGAGTACCCTTTGCATAGGCAGGATGGCCTCAAGCCCAGTCTGTACTCAATGGTGACGGAAAAGAAGAATGCGTTCTCCATCAGGGAATTATACCAGTCTGGTCGGTTTGACAGGTGGATGTGTTTGAGACTGTACAACACGTAACGGTTATTGACACAGATAGCGCTCCACAGACGGATATTGAGCTGCCCATCGGATGCCGGCAGGGAGTATTGATCGCGCGAACATTCTGTGCCAGCATTCATTAATTTTGTTTTTATCATAGTTACGTGGTGTTGTAAGAAACGTTGGGGTCAACAGCAGAATAGTTTTAATGTACAGGGTTGGGGGGGGGGGAGAAGATCTTGCAAAAAATGGATGAAAAATCAGAAGCATAGACACGTTTTGAATTCGAGTTCCGGTTCAACATAAGCAGTAGGCCTTCGCCAGCCTCTTGGTTACATTTCTGAGTTCATCGGCGGGTGACTGGCCAGGGGCAAATTCATATAGGAATGTGGTTGAGAAGTATCGTCATGTGTTCACTAGTTATCGCCGTCAAACAGAACGTTAGGTATCGAATTAGCGCGGCCGCCAATTTCTGTACTGGTCAGAGTTCCTAGCTACACATCCAAAGGTCCCTGGTTCCATTCCCTGCGCTACCGGGTTTTCTGGGAAGTACTGGGTCTGGAACGGGGTGCACTCAGCCTCCCGAGGACAATTGAGGAGCTATTTCAAGGAAATAGCGGCTCCGGTCTAGTGAACCGAAATTAACGGCCTTGGGGAGCCGTTGCGCTGACCACGTGACACCCTCTATCCGCAAAAGTTGGCATTAACTTCGCCGATAAGCGGCGGTCGCTCAGTCGATATAGTTCGCTTGCGGACTACAGTCCACGGAGTTTTGTTTTCATTCATCAGCACTGGCAGTTACAGATGTACCGCAATTGTTTAGATCGTCCACGACATAAAATTGTGAACCCGACGTAAGTGGCTCTAGTCTTACTCGTAGCTCAAGTTCGCTTGGCCACAGTGTTGGTATTAGTTCTAGATAATTACATATAATGTAAGTAAATGAAGTCTTTTTTTTTCACTGACTTGATGTAGTATTCAAATTTCGCAGAAATCCGTCAAGTGGTTCAGCAGTTATTAAGTAGGTCGGATAGTCACACGCAGACGTGGTGGTACCATAAACCTGTTTTTCCTTATAAAGAGCAAGCACGTGCGCTAAAGGTACAATAAGAAACCATCAATTCGTTAACACAGGGATGTTTTGTCTTGGGAGTGACGTGTTTATGGGGCTGAATAGATGTGAGGACAGAGGATACATATTTTGGCCCACTTTATAATTGCAGTCTCTCATAATGTAATTATAATCTGTTATATATATAGCAACAGGCGTGACCAGAGTGGTTTGAACGGCTGTTGTACTGCGGTATGGAAAGCAAATGGAAAAACTACCACATTATCACTTTTCCTGGATAGTCTTTTTCCAAAAACAGGGACACCATGTATGCGAACCAGAAGACGTAAGAAGATGCTGGATGACCTTGGGGACAGAAGAGGATATTTTTATTTTAAGGAGAAATCTCTGGATAGCATTAACTGGATGAACAGTTTTGGAAGAGACTGTGGACCTGTCGTCTGACAGATTACTGATGAATGAATGAATATATTAATACTGATCATAATGCGAGCCGGGATAGCTCACTCGGTATAGCGATTGGCTACGGGCTGGACGACTATGGGGTCGGAGTTCGAGTCCCTTGAGGGACAGGATTTTTCTTTTCTCTCCCCGTCACACAGACCGGTTCTGGGGCCCACCCAGCCTCTTAATCCAATCTGTATTGGAGAATATGTCCCCAGGGGTAAAGGTATCGGGGCGTGAAGCCGACCGCTCATCTCCAACTAGTACCATCAAGAATTCATGGCTTTATATATCCACTCCTGACCGCCTCTGTGGTCTAGTGGTCAGAGTTCCTGGCTACAGATCCAGAGGTCTGGGTTCGATTCCCGGCGCTACCAGATTTTCTGAGAAGTAGTGGGTCTGGAACGGGGTCCACTCAGCCTCATGATGATAATTGAAGAGCTATTTCAAGGAAATAGCGGCTCCGGCCTAGAAAACCGAGGTTAACGGCCGTGGGGATTCGTTGCGCTGACCACGCGACGCCTTCTATCCGCTAAACTTGGCACTAACTTCGCCAACAAGCGGCGGTCGCTCGGTCGGTATATTTCGCTTGCTGACTAAAACCACGGAGTTTGTATATATCCACACCTCCATACGTGTTCAGGGCGTAGTGCGTAATTAGTTAAGCACAGGAACACCTTTTTACCGATTATAATGCGAATTATTGCCAACATTGTGTAACAAAAACTCGCACATTCTTATTCCGTTCGCTCATTTTCATATTTTCCATGCTGTCCATCTGCAGACATACTTGTATTGCGAATAATAATGCCCTCGGTTCGCTCTGTTTGCTGTCTGCACCTTTTTTTTTTTTTTTGGTTGGTGGCTTATTATTCGAGCCTGAAGATGGAGGCAGTACTATTCTCTGGAACGTCGGTGGACTTGTATCGGACTACACGGCATGGCGTCCTGGAGGACGGTACGCTTCATAATCACTGCTGAGAGAAGTGGTATCTAACACACTACTTCACCATTATGAAGATCAGTCGGTTAACATAGGGCAGGCATGTCCAACGCGTCGATCGCGGGACGATTTTTGGTCGATCTCATAGGCCTATAAGGAAATTATGCGTGAAAAGTATGTAAATTCACTTTTAATATAATATGATTATATTCAGATTTTGAAGGGAAAATAGGTATTAGTCATTCCTATTTTTCTGTTCTAATGTAGCTTACGTGAAAATTGCTTTACACTTGTGTTAAGTGAACTGTGGGGAAGTCCCTACTCTATCCTTATCACGTGAACTCTTATTTTTACCAATAGTTTAGCTTAAAGCGAGGTATGATGATAGGAGAGGGTGGTAGATCACCGGCAGTTTTGACGCTAAAAAGTCGATCACAACCTGTTTGAAGTTGGACGTGCCTAACATAGAGGAAAACAGTAGCAGAGAACCACACAAACACTGGGTTTACGCCATGGGCGGAATGCCGAATTATTGATCGTTAGAGCTGTTGGTATTCATAGTTACCATTGTGCTAGAAAGAGTTTAACCGGAGGTAGAGCCTGCTATGAATTTCTCTGTTCGCTGGCTGTTGAAAAGAAGCCTGCGACAGTTTCAGCGCATTGATCGTCGATTCCCGATCCTTTTGTTTCCGTTTTGCTATCAGGTGAATTGAGTGCCATGGCGTGATTACCCGGCGTAGTGACATCTAAATCAAGCTCTTTTTATACGAGCTTCTCCTTAGGGCGGCCGCACACCAATTGCGTCAAGACAAGCATCAAGACATGAGACAAAAGACGCAGTCTTGCTTCATTCGCGATTCATCAGCATGAAGCTGACGTCAGCATCATGATTCAGATCGGTCTGCAGCGGTTTTCATAATCTCATTCGTTTCAAGTGTGCTCCTTTGTTTGCGTCATGTCGCAGACATCGTGTCTTGACGCATGCCGGTATGTGGCCTACTTTAATGTTCATAAAGACCGACAAGCGTTTCGTAATTTCGTTTTTGGTTTCTTGTTTGGAATTGAAGCGTTGCTGATTTTTACTTCAGCTTCCCCCACCCATAAGTATGGCTTGTTAAATGCCGTTTCATTGCTTAGCATTGTATCTAAACATTCTTACATTCTTTAATGAGAGTGGTGTAGTTTTTCTGGGTTTTTTTTTTGCAGTATTACTGTGCTATTGCAGGTACAGCTGCATAGTTGACGTAACTGTTTTAAGATTTTTGGTGCCGACTGCATTTAGCCATAAACTAGCGTATTGTTGATAAAGCAGCCGAACGGTAGACACATTGTATTGTACAGATGAATGAATAATTTGTTTTCGTTAAACGTATATCATGGCTTCTTGCAAATTTTTCGTAACAAGCTTATTCTTTTGGTGAGAAGTTGTTAGCTCCACGCCCAGCCCCCAGTATGGAGGACACCCCTTGTCTGCTGCCTGCGACTGCTTCTTCAATATTGCAGCTACGCTCCATACCTGAAGTGCGTCTCCTTCATCCGCAACCTGAGGACGCGCCATGCCGTGGTGACAGGGACCCACCTAACACAATTGGCAGCTTCTCAAGAAGGGCTCAGTTCCATGAGTGAGTGAAACGTATATCATATCGAAGAACGTTTCAGATGAGAGTGACAGGTCTTCATCAGATGGATGTATGCAAAGCTTTCGTATAAAGAGACGAGAAATTTTGTTTGTCGACAAGTATCAAAACGTTTACGGAGATGAAACAGTGTGCAGACGACAAGATTTTATCTGTGTTAAGATTTCATCAGAGATCCGTTCTACGACAATTTAAAGAACTGATGCAGATGATCAGTATCTTTCGGCTGTTCGAAGTTATCTGTTAATTGTTGGGATACTGACCGACATCTTGTGCAGGGCTGTGCCGAGGAATTTCAGTGACGAGCATAAACTTTGAAGGAAATACGTTTGTTGAGACCTAAGAGTGGACTTTATGTATATACCCGAACGTTTGTTACATACTATAATTGTGACCGGTCGCTATGGTCATTATGTGTAGCCTAGAAACGATGAGGCCATAACCACTCTGGCTTCTTTCTTAAAACTTGGCCCTTCTATCGCTTTACAAATTCTTTGTACTTATATTTATATACGAAGTGGACGCCGAAAGTCGCTGCCTGCCTGTGGTTACGTGTAACGAGTATCCATTGATGCGCTGCTCCACGCGCAGCGACCGTGCGCTAGCTTGATATTGACCTACGTCAGGTCGTCGCGTGTTGACTGCCACCCCCGGTCTGCCTACTTCCAGACCGATTTATCACAATCGTATATTTTTGTTTTCCTTCATTA